CTTGCGGGAGGGCTGGCCCGCTCAGCGGAGCCTCCAGCGGGCCGCTCCCAGCAGGGATCCCGGGGCTTCCCCGGGCGGCTCCAAGGCCACGAGGCCCTGGCCGCGCTTCTCCCAGGGGGTGGGGCACCCGGGCGCAGGGCCAATCAGGAGCCCTGCAGGAGGTAAGTCCGCCTGAGAGAGAGAGAGAAGGGAAGCGAAAGTGCCTGTCTCTCTCTCTGCAAATGGCGGAGGAGGCCATGCGGAGACAGATGCGGAGTGCTGTCTCGGTTCCTAAGACCATCGGAAATATGTGTTTTCTGATGGTCTTAGGCGTCCCCTGTGAAAGGATCGTTCGACCCCCAAAAGGGTCGCGACCCACAGGTTGAGAACCGCTGCATTAGACGAAGACACATGATGAACAAGTAATCTCTTTATTGATCTTCTCCTTACAACCAAGCAAACAGCAAAAGGCACGCAGGCCTTTTATAGAGTCCTGAACCCGGACAGTGTCAGCCAATAAGAAGCTGGCTGTTTTCGCGCCTTGTGCATGCGCACAAGGCTGGCGACAGCCAGTCTGGTCCTGGGCAGCTTTTGGTCTGCCCGGGACCGTTTGCAACATTTCTGAGCCTGCTCACTACTGCAGCAGGCTCAGGACACAATAGGAACCATATAGAGAAATCAGTAGAAGTGCAAGAAAAACCAAACTCTGATTGATTGCCCTCATGGCCATTGTGTGATTTAATGTAGCAACTGTGGGAAGAACTGAAGGTTCTTTGGTGTAGTTTTTAAAGCTGAAAATAGCTTTGCTAATGCAGCTTATAATATACAAACCATTTACTTCACCTTCATTACTGGTAATAGATGGGCAACATTGCAGTTATCATAAATCGATCCTTTGCTGAGAGCCTGTGTCCGGGGGAAGGTCTATCATGGCTGCAGTCTCTTGGTTGACTGGAAGCTTTACTTCCTGCTGGGAAGATGGGGGGGAGGGGAAAAAACGAATAGAAGTGGGAAATGACTCCTGACTTAAACGAACCAATGAAATCTGTGGTTATCCCTGGTGGAGTAGTATGGAGATATCCAGTGCTAGTAAAAAGGGTGGAGAGGGAAGGAGAGGGTTTGTCTTGGCTTATGAAGAGCAAAGGCTCTCTCCTTGTTATGGGAAGGCAACAGTAGCTCATTAATAAGGTATAAATTGTTGTGCAGGACTAGCTTCCTGCCAGAGCAGTAGGACAGAAATACACATGAGTAAAATTGCAAGAAATTCCTTTTTATAGAATAAAATTGTTTATTTTTGCTATTATACTAAAATGACATGACCTTACTCCTGCTTACAATTTTAAAAGGATGTTTTGGCAGGAGTATTATAATGAATTGTACTAAGAATGGCATTTATGTCCTCCAAAGGACAAGCCAACTTTAGCCCTCTCTATCCCACCCACACAGCAGTGACCAAGACTGTATTGTTAACTTTGAAAGTTGCTGCTTTTTGTGCAGGCAAACATATGTCATTTCCACAGTGAATAATATTCACTGCTTCCATATACAAATGTTAAGATTAGCATATTGTGTCTATTCAATTCTGATATCAATGTTTCAATATTTGAGGGGCTGCCAGAAAGAACAGGGGGTCAACTATTTTCCAAAGCACCAGAAGGCAGGACAAGAAGCAATGGATGGAAACTAATCAAGGAGAGAAGCAACCTAGAACTAAGGAGAAATTTCCTGACAGTGAGAACAATTAACCAGTGGAATGGCTTTCCTTCAGAAATTGTGGGTGCTCCATCACGGGAGGTTTTTCAGAAGAGACAGCCATTTGTCCAGTATGGTATAGGGTCGCCTGCTTGTGCACTGCACACAAAGCACAGTGGGTCATATTATTCTGCTTCTTGCCAGGGGAAACCTCCACCTCCCCACCCACTGCCTTGCCATGAATGTGCACTGTTCAGCCAAGGGGCTCCTTGCAACAACATGGAATGTCTGGAAGGCAGCAGCTTTGCCATCCCAGCCTCCTGTGCACACACAAAACACAGTGGGTCGCATTATTCTGCTTCTTGCCGGGGAAACAACATGTTTGCCACCACCACCACCAATCTTTCCAGTTTCCACTTCAAGAATCCAAGCCAGCAGGACTGTGTCCAATGGGAAGGCAGAGCCGGGACGTGCAGCTACTAGTCCTGCACTGTGGATTGGCCGGGGACATGTGTCCCTCAGCAAATCTCCCGGGATGAGGGTGCGAGGGAGGAGTGCCGGCTGAGGGCCAGCCAAGGATAAACACCCGTGATGGGTTGGTTGCAGTGGGGCCCCCGCAGTGAAGTGGGTGCAGCCAGGTGCCTGCAGTTAATTGTCCCATTCTGTGCATTGGCTTTTTTGGTGGTGCAGCACACTGTTGGCTCATATTTATGAGATTGTCCAACTGCTTTGAGAGAATGGTCAGCCAGCTCTTGCAGTTGCATCTGCAGTTAGAAAAAGATTACAGCTGATTTACACAACATTAAAAGTCCTTAAATGAATAGGTTGCAAAACTAACCAGACATGAACATTTTCTGCAATTTTTAGCAAAGACTTCAATGTAAGTAACTTGATTATTTCTAGAGCTCTTTGGCAAGTATTGATCTTGCAACAGTCACATCAGGTACTGGGAAGTTACACAATTAGTGGTTCTAATGATGGTGTTTCAGAAAAAAAAATCATTAAATGATTCAATTTAATGCTGTGGAAGAAGACAAAATATGGAAATTACTCAAGAAAACGTTTTAAAAGAAAAATCATTCCAAAGCAACAACTGAATTGGAAAAAAAACTGAGTATAATGGAAGAAATAGTATTTATACAAATAAGGCTCAGCCCCAGAACTTGTTGTCATTAATAAGGCTCAATCCTGGAGCAAACAAAGATCAGTGTTTCTGAGAATATAGGAAGTGCTTCTCTCATACTATGTAACAGTTAAGTTCTATTGTGATAATCTCAAATGAAGCTGAGATGAATAGGGATGGATTTTTAAGTCAGAATATACAGATATTGGCAAAGAGTGAAGTGCCCTTAAGAAAAGACATTATCTTCAAGCAGGATGAGAAAAATGACACTGACCAGAAATAGAAGAAAAGGAAACCAGGAAATACAGACAAATAAATCAAGTACGTAACTAAAATAGGAAGAAATGTGCTCTAGGTAACCAACTTAGACCTCTAATAAGCAATCTGTCCTTTCTGTAGCAGTTTGCAGGGTTGGGGATGATGGTTGTGTGTTTGAAAGGGAGAGAAAAGAATGGAAGGGAGAAAAGCTCTACCCACTTTCAGTTCTGGCCCGACTGTCACTAGCATGTGGCCTCCCAGTTTATCTCTAAAGAATGCTGCCCTCAAGAGAAAAAAGAATGTCCACCTCTATTTTGAGGTCTTTAGTTGGTATGAAGGTGAGTCTGAAATAAAATATTTCCCCAAATTATTTTTGACCTAGTCAGTCTTTGCTGCCTTCTGCTGTTACAAAAGGATGTGAGCCTAACTGTGATTTGTAAAAGCCCAACTGTCCTTAAACACAAAAACAAAAAGCTAATAAAGCTCTTAGGTTCCACTTTCTTATTTGCAGCCACAATGTGCCTATCCCCATTTATTATCTTCCAATTTGGCTAACAAAAGCCTCACTGTGGGGCTGGTTAGTAGTTCCCCATTCTCTTCTTCAGATGAAATCATGTGCCCCAATGGACTCCAAGACCTCCACAAATGCCTTACTTGGGACTGTTCATCATGCATACTGTCACTTTTGTAGGACCTAAAAGTGGTCCTGCTGCTCTTCAGAATCCCAGTCACCACAACTGTGTTGCTGGTTGGCTCAGTTCCCTAAGTCTTTGCTGAGGGCTTAGCAAGTTGGCCGCTGTGTTTACATGCAGGGATGTGCCAGTTGGTTTTTCCTTCAGCAATCCCTCTTCTTGACCCCCCTGCCAAGCACTCACTGCAGGAAAAAAAGAGGATTATACAGAAAAGAAGATATGAGCAGCTATGAGCAGATGGTATGCCTCTATGCCTCTATGGATATCAAGGTTTCATTCACAGCTGCCTGGTTGGGGGGAGGGAGGAACACATTGGGGCCAGAAGGCACTTGGAGGAGACAGAGGAGCTGCAGGCACAAGGAAAAAAAAGAGCACAGCGATGATTCCATTAAGGAGTTCATTTGGCAGCGAGGCCAGACACAACTGACACATTTATCCACACACATGACTCAGACCTCCACCCATCACTGACGTACACTCATGCACACACATATGTATATTACCCACACTAATGCCCAAATTTCCCCAAACCCACCTTGTCTGGGCCCTGTACTGTAATCCAACTTGTTGTTGGATCATGAAAGGATGACAGGCACAGATGGGCATCATTCTAGAGCCTTGGACACCCACCCTTCCAAGCTTCCAGCTTGGAAAATCCATAGGACTTAATTTAAAAAAAAAGAACTGTACAAAGCCCTGAGGACAAGAGGGTTGTAGTGTTGAGTCATGCACCTCTGTTCCCAAAGTGTCAGGGCAAGGGGCCAGCACAAGTTCTGATTATACCAAACTGGATGGAGAACAAGGGATTCTAGGAACTGGAACCACATAGGACAAGCTTTATCCTCTCCACAGATTGACAAGAGTTACAGAACAATGAAACTTCCTTTGCTGTCATTACATCTTTTGTAATTCCTGTGCCCCAAGTTGCTTGGTTCACAGTGGTTGGTTGAAACAGAAAGCTGCCAAATTTTCTTAGGTAGTTTGCTTTGACACTTCTTAACCTGCCTTGAGCAAGACAGCATCTTGAGTGGCTGGGAAAAAACATTAATGCAGCTTGGCTGCACTGTTTCTTGCTCTGTTCATTCATCTCTTTTGTCAAAAAATAAGGGCTTCAGTTCAGCCGAGCACTTGATGAGATGGAGAAGAAAAGGAAGCCAGACCAGACTCAAAGGCAAATGCTGATCTCCATGGTTCTGGTGCCTCATCCTCCCCCACCCAAAGTGTGCAATGAGGGTGAGCTGTCTTCCTCCTCCTGGCTACTTTACATTGAAGACCATGAGAGGCCGTTCCTCACGTTTCTGCCACGGACTCTTCTTGTCTCCCTGGTCATCAGTTCCTTCAGAAGGTTCATTGCTGTCACCCTCTGGGCTGGTCACTGACTCACAGCGCAGTTCAATGTTGCTGCTGTAAGAGCTGTTGCCACGGCTGCGCCCATGACAAGGAATTGTAGCAGCATGCTGGTCAGTGTTTTCATCCAGCAGAGGGGTCAGTGAATTGTCCTCAGGAGAACAAATGGCGGTGTGGATCTCACTGCTGCTTTGCTCTGTGTCACCATCAGCAAAGACCAGCTTAGAGTATGTTGGACCCATGGCTGGAGCCATGCGCTCCTCCTTCAGGCGCTTGGTGGGCTTGACTCCATTGACATCCAAACCTGAGTCCAAACTGGCATCATTTCTGTGATTCCTCTCAGTACTCTGGAGATCAATGTAAGAATGACGGACTTGAGAAGAACGCCCATCCAGAGATACAAACCAGGCTTGTGGATGTGGCTTCACACCCAGTTCCAGCAACTTCTTCTCACTCAGTGCCTGTAGCTCCCCATTCAGTTGGGCCATAGTGGATTCGTTCAACAACACTGGTATGGTGACTGAACCACTGACAGATTGTGTGTGTGGTCCCCAAACCTTCCCCTCTGGGTCTTCCACTTCATGTTGCCGTAGTTGGAACTGTGAATGTTGCAGCTGCTGTCTGAGGAGCTGCTGCTGCCTCTGTTGTTCCTGGGTACCAAACTGGTGAGGGAGTCCCATGGCAGTTGGGTCCATATCTGGTTGATTTTCAGAGCCCCCAGTAGTCTGCTCTGTTGGAGCCAGGCACATATAGTGGGCAGGAATTACGAGGGTTGGAATGACATTTCGGTACATTGCATCCTTCATATGGTCAATAGAACCACAGAATATTAGCTGTCCAGGTTGACTTAGGGAGGTGGGACGGGCCATACAGTCTACAGACTGTGACATCATGAAGTCAGGATGTTTGGCATCCCCTTTATGGGCCATATAAAGGTCAAAAGGAGCTGGAAGAGGTGGTGGTGATGTAAGCTCCTGTAAATAAGGCTTGCTATCATTGTGTGCTTGTTTGCACTGTGTCTCTTTGCTCTTGTCTTTCACCCACTGATGTGAATAGTTAGGCTTGTAATCTTTCAAGAGGGGGGGTTCCAGTGTGCCAGGGGCATCCATGGACCGGGCTGCCTTCAATGAACAACCTTCCACTACTTGAGGATAGTCATCCTTGAGACCACCTTGCTGGCTCAGTGTGTCTGCTGTGGAGGCTTTGCTAGCATGATGAATCTTCTGGTTTGGCACTTGCTTGAAGAATTTCTCATGGGAACTCTCAAACTCCCTGGAGGAGGAGAAGGCTGATTTGAGGATGGATGTATGCACGTCTATGTCTCCACTGGATGAAGCTGTCTCCATATGGCTAGTGCATATAAGATTAATCTGGGACACTGATGTAGTCTGATCTTTCTTGGATGCGTCCAGAGCCCCAGAAGGCTGACACTTTCTATGTTGTCGATGTGGCTTCAGACACAGTCTCCTAGAGAGGAAGAGATAAAGAAAGAAAATGGGTACAAAGATCTGTATGGATGAAAAAGTATCATAATTCAAATTCTGACATATTGCATCCTCTGCACACAAAAGGTGTTCAGAAGGTGCACTACAGAACTATGATACTTGAAAATTCCCATTTTATTAACTTCAGCTGGAATACCTCTGCACACAAAAGATGTTCAGAGGTATTCCTGCTGAAAGGTCTCACTTAAGAAGATGGTTGTTATGGTATGTGAGAAAGACCTTGAGAAACAAAGTGAAGAGATGCTGCCTAGGGAAGGCTCAGATAAGAGAGGGCATAGCCCACAGCTGCAAAATGGGTGAAGAAAGAGTCTCATAAGAGACCCTCCCTAACCTCTTAGGATATAAATGAGATGGTGGGAGATTTGTACTTTCAGACTTGGAAGATTCTGTTGCAAGTAGTCTTTGACTTATGACCATTCATTCAGTGACCATTCAAAGTTACAATGGTGCTGAAAAAACAGACTTACAACTGGTCCCCAAAGTTATGGCCATTGCAGCAGCCCTGTGGTCATGTGATCAAAATCTTGGTAGCCCAACCGCACTTACAACTGCAGGGGCACATCAATTCCTGCCTTCCATCTCCCACCCACCCCCAATCTATGCCCTTCTGGCTCTGTGTTCTGACTTTTGCCATTGTCTTGCTCCCACTACTGAACAAGCATGCCTGGCCTGGCCCTTTGGGAGTCAACTGCTAGCCACACTAGGCCTTTCAGAGGCCATTTGTGGCCTTGTCCAAATCACGTATGGCCTTCTCACAAGGTTTTGAAGCTTTCCAAAGCCTTGGGAGAAGGCTGCATGCAATTTAGACAAGTCTGTGCTATTTAGAGAACAGTGCAAGTGGCTTCGGGAAGAAGGCTTGGCACTGCCAGAAGATGCCTCTCAAGGGCCAGGCTGGGCCAACTTGTCAGCAGCAGAATGAAGAAGATAGCAAAGGTCAGCTGGGGTGGCGGAGTGAAGCGCAGCAGGGATGGCTGGGCTGGGGTTGCTGAGGCTTCCTGGGGCAGCTGCTTTGTGCTGTGCCCTTAGGGTTTCCTGGGCATTTGGCACTTCCTGGGATGCTGCATCTTTTTGCCATGTTGTTGGGGCTTCCCAAGTGTTTGGTGCTTCATGGGGTGTGGCAGCTTTGTAACATGATGCTGGGCCAGGCTTGGGCAGCTGAGGTTTCCAGGGGCAGCTGTTGCTTTGCTGTGGCTCAGGAGCTTCTTACAGCACCAAGAAGCCCCTAAGCCACAGCATATTCTTTCTCTGGCCTCCCTGTGATTGTGCTGCATGGCAACATTCCCCCAACCTGTGCATAGCCTATGCTGGGTCTCCCCACCCCCCTGCAGCACCCCTGCACTCCTTATCTGGGACTCCCTCTGCTACCCACTTAACCCACGTGTCTGGAGTTATGACTGCAACTGGGACTACCAGGAATGCTATCACTAAGTGTTGCAGTCACATGATGTCTCACTTTACAACCGCATCATTTAGTGACATAAATTCTGGTCCCAATAGTGTTTGTAAGTTGAGGACTACCTGTAATGTAGCCTTACAATGAAGCAGAATTAGCTCATCTAGTCATGTTTCTTGTCTGGTTTACCTGGGAAGGCTGACCAGTTTGCAAGTCTGCTACTCTCTACCAAAGAGGAATTTCAGGAATGGCCTCCAATCCTCAAGGAAATCTACTGTTTGCTGAGCATCTGGCTGCTGTTGTTTTTTTTTATTTTTATTTATGATTAAATTTATATACCGCCCTATCTCCCTTACGGGACTCAGGGCGGTGAACAGGCGATACTAAAAACCACGATAATAAATAAATAGTTTCTGTTCTAAAATCGAATTAAATAACAGGCCTGTTCTAAAAACACACCCATACAAAAACCCCCACTGAAACATAATCAAACTACGCCAGGCCGGCCGCACGGAATAGATGG